TACCCACTGCCAGCACGCACCCTCCCTCCCCCCTTACCTGCCCTCCTCAGATCTCGCTGTTGCTGCGAGCGTCTCTTTGGGCTGGTGTGTCACTGGCAGTTGCTCCTCGCGGCTGCCCGTACTGTGGTCTGTGTCCCTGGGCCGGTCCTTGTCGTTGCCCAGCGCACTGCTCCGGGACCCCAGTGGGCCGCGCTTTGTTTTCTGAGTCGCGAGTGGATAGGCACTGCGGCGTGTCTCACTGGGCTGTTTGCCTAAGGCTGCGGGGACATTCCGGCATGTTTTTACGTGACCTCTGTTTCCACCTTGCTTGGGTCTGTCTCTAGGCGTGGACTTGCTGGGTCCCGTGGTGACTTCACCTGTGACATTCGGGGGCCGTCACACTTTTCCGGCAGAGCCGCACCATTTCCGTTTCCCTCATCCGTTGGAGTGGCTTTCCTTTCTCCACTTCGCGTCCTCTCCAGCACTTGCTGTTGTCTGACTTTTTCATTCTTAACACCTTGTAGGTGTGAGGTGATATTTATGGCTGATGAATACAAATAATTTCTCCCGTTCTGCAGCTTGTCTTTCTTCACTTTCTGGGTGGTTTCCCCGGAAACACATGAAAACTTTGACAAAGTCCACATCTGTTTTTCCTTTTGTCCCTTGCTCTCTTGGTGTCCAGGCTACGAAACCGCTGCCTAGCGCGGTCTTCCGCACGCTGCCTATGAGGGCTGTGAACACTTGTGCATTCGGCCAGCACCTTTGGGGCTGCCGTCTCGTTTTGTATACGGTAGGAGGTGGGGCACGCCTCATCCTTTTGCCTCCAGATGTCAGGTTGTCTCGGGCTTGTTTGCTAAAGACTATTCTTCCCTCGTTAAGTTGCCTTGGCATCCTTGCCGAACAGTCAACAAGTGCTGTTGAAGGCGAGGCTTTTTCTCGTTCTGGACTCTTCGTTCCCGGTCTGCACGCCTGTCCTGCCAGCGCCGCCCCATCTTCAGTGTTGTCCTTTCGTGATAAGTTCACAATACAGACGTGTAAAGCCCACACTTTTGACTCTTCGCAAGTGGTTTCCCTGTCCTGTGCCCCTTGCATTTCCTTGTGAATTTTAGGTCCCACTTGTTAGTTCCTGCCAGAAAAGCAACTGGAATTGGACAGGGTGTTTTCACGGGCATCTTTAAATACCTGGTTTTTATCTGCTTCTGAACGCACCTTTACACTGTGCTGCTTCAGTGGAGTGTTTGAAGGACCTCCTGCCTCGCACACAGATACCGGTTGGGGCTGGGAGCATCTTAGCTTTTCAGATAATTGGGGCTCTTCTGTGGCTCTCACCAGTGCTGGGCAGGTGTCGCTCCTGGGAGGTCAGCTGAGGTCAGCTGCAGGTGCAGCCTGAGCGCCCTAGGAGAGGCCCTTTCCCCGCTGGCGTGGGACCGCGCTGGCGTGTCCACACTCCAGGGGGCTCATCTGCCTGTGCCCGGCTGTGTGGCTCCATACGTTGGTCATGGGGAAAACACGGGTTCTTTGCTAGGAAGCTCTTTCGCACTACACGTTTCTGTATATGAGGTCACGTGCTTAATACTGCTGTGGGTCTCAGACCTCGAGGCTCAGGAAACCATTCCGCTTACCTAGAGTGAGGCCAGCTCTCTGCCATTCTGATTTCCTCTTGCGAATTCACTTTTCATCACTGGCAGAGTACTGCCCGTTTTACTTGCAGTGACCGGCTCACGTCTGCCCAGTATCCACGTTTGATCGCATGGTAGCTGTCGGTCGTTCTTGCAAGTAAAAATGGGCTTGTAACAGGAGCCCCTGGCCCAGCTCGCGGCCATTCTGCAGCAGCTGGCTGTGTGCACGCACCTCCGTTTTGTCACGCAGAAAAGGTGCGTGCTAGAGGGCCCGGGTTTAATAAAATGACTGATTTTTGTGTCTTCCTGTAAGTGCAAGAGGCTCTTTAGGAAGCTGCTCCGTAGCTGTCTCTGCTCATGCTTGGGGCCATGTGTGCACTGTTAGTGCGCGTGTGCGTGTAGTGAAAAAGAGGATAATTTGGTATTAATGCGAAATAGTTTTAGCTTCGTACGGTCCCTGAAAAAAGATCCAGAGACCCCCCCAGAGTCCCAAAGACTGGGAGCGCCCGGGACCTTCGTGCCGGCCGCCTGACTGCTGTGCACCCAGTTGAGCCCAGTGGGGCGCTCTGGGCTGCGTGGGGGGCACTTAGGCAGCACTTGGCACACCTGAGGGGGAGGGAGCCCAGGAGCCTACGGGATGAGGTGGGGGTCGAAGGGCAGCTGGAAAGGTGGTCTGGGGCTGGCGCGGTACTGTTTGCAGGAAGCCTAGGACTTGCCTTTCAGTGCCGGCTGGCTACCAGGCGGAGGGGCGGGCAGGCTGGCGCTCGTGGCCTTCCGGGGCGCTGCAGTCTGGGGTAAATTGCCCTCTGACGGGTGGCAGCCCACTGGGGTGCTATACCCTGTGGTTTTCAAATGCAAGTGTCAGGGTAGAGGGGAGGGAGGGCGTCTGTAAAACAGCAGCTTCAGCAGCTTCATGGCAGCGGGAGGAACAGCTCTGCCTGGGACTGCGAGCGGGTATAGCAGTTTCGCAGATGACGTTTATTTTTATCACATTGAGGAAAGACAGTCCACATAGTGTTCCCTGCACATGCTTTCATTTGACTCGATGCTGCCGGAGCGTGAGTACTTCATCACACAACACTGTCTTCACGCGGTCTAGACCGAGTCAGTCGTTTTAACACTGTCTATTATGCGTGGGCTGTCCCTGCTTCCCATTTCGTCATTTTGGGGGTTTGGAAATACAAGTTAAAGCGTTGTGTAATATTTAATGATCACACTTGAGAGAACCTGTATTTTACAAGAGACCGAATTAAATCTTAACAGTTGATAGAGGGCTGGCAGTCAGAATACGAGTTTGGGGTATCTTCCTGTGAACTGCTGATTAATTTTGAAATCAGTCTCCAGCACAAAGGCCCTGCCTAAGTGACTCTCTCAGCATTTTGACACTCAAACATACATTGGCCTTTTAATGAAAAGAAGTCCATGTGGGACATCAAAATTTGTCATCTGAGTGGGTGCTGGCTTAGAAGTGCTGAAAACCTGGCACCATGCACCGGGGCAAAGGCAAGCAGGGCTCATGGTACCGGGGTGAAGTGGCTGGGACCCGTCTCCCCAGCACTTGGCGCTGGGAGGCTCATCCCTGGCGCATAAGCAGTATAAGAACAGGCCGTGGGCCAGATGGGGCCTGTGAGCTGTGCTCTGCGGATCCTGTTTTTTTATCCTCCGGGAGTTCTCAGCCTCTCTGTGGAGTAGATGGGGACAGTCAGGCAGCGGAAGAGGGGAGACTGGCATGATGTCACAGAGGAGACTTGAGCTACAGGTGGAGGCAGAGTCGACAAGATGTGTGGGTAGCTTGAGTTCCCGTGGGGTACAGCGGCCCCTGGCTAAGTGAGAAGCCAAAGGAACAGGACCATGGGGACTTGGGCGGCGCCAGGGGCATTGGCGTGCCCACCTCGGGCCTGTGCGGCTGGCTTTCCTGCTGGCAGCCCTGGGGCCAGGTGGCCACCCCGGATGGCAGCTGGGCTCACCTACTCCTGGGCCCTCCCGCAGCGGCGTCTCCAGGTTGCCTTCGAGACACAGGTGAGTGCAGGATCCAGTCGGCCCCACCCTGCTCACACCTCCAGGCAGGCGTGCTCCGTCACAGGCCTTTTCGTTCTGCACATTGTGCTGCCCTGACACGTGGCTGGAATCCAGGTGGTTTCCTTCATCTCCCTGTGTTTCTAGATGAGCAGGAGCCTAAGACAGCACTACACATAAATGGAAGTCTCTGGTTTTAGGCCTTGCTGAAAGTTTCTCTGGTAGACAGCTAAGATTGTACAGATACAATGTTCCTGTTCTTTTTAAAATTGGGGTGCAAAGCAGCACTGTCCAATAAAAATAGAATTCAAACCCACAGGCAAATTTTAATTTCCCAAAAGTCATGTGAAAATACAAACTGATGAAGTTAATTTACTTAATGTATTTAATCCAGCGTGCCCAAATATCGTTGGGTTTTTTACCCTTTTTTCAGACTTAGGTTTATGGAATCCCGCGTTTTCCATGTGCAGGAAGGAGCTGTCGCGGCCAGCCAACTTGGGCTCTTGGGTCCTGGGCGCAAGGGTCCGCGCAGCCTGCTGAGAGGACTGCTGAAAGAAAATCTCTGTAAAAGACACCTTTAAAAACAGCTTTCGTGCTGACTGATGAGCGTGCTTAATTTTTCGGTTCAGTTTCCTAATTTTGTGTGCTTGCTACTTTTCATCAGACTTAAACTTCATGTTCTGCAATTTGTGAAAAGATTTTGTTGTCACTTGAGAGTTTCTTTTGTTTGTGTTTCTCTACCCTGAACCCCAGCATCTCTCAAGCTTGGCCACAAATGTAGCAAAATTCATATTCCTCATAGTTGCCAGACACTTTTCCTGAGTTACTGGCCCCTTTGCGTCCGGCTCAGTAGCTTCCTGTAGTGACGCACTCCCTGCCCAGCTCCCGCGGCGGAGGCCCGGGCCCTTCTGGCAGCCTTCCCGCTGCCCTTGTCGTCTCCCTCACCCCGCTGGAAGGCGCCCCAACACCGTAAGTGCTTGAGTGAACTAGTTTTACTAGGTTATTCTGTCTTGTCTTTGTGATAATATTAACTGCTCCTTAAATTTTTTCTCTCCCAGGATCTATTTTTAAAAATTGGGAAGGGGGTGTGAGAAAGAATAGGATGACGTCAGCCCTGCTTAACTCACAGGAACAAGTGAGAGAATTCATGTGAAAATGTTTTGTGACCTCTTAAGACAGTATCTCACTTGTAGGTTCTGGTGAACATTTGCAATTTGGGGATCTGCAGCTCGTGCCCCCATGTGATTCTCTGTGGGATGTTAGAATCATGGTGAACATGTCTGCAGAACACGCAGGAACTTCCTCCTCGTGCTCCCCTTGGAAAATCAGAATGGGCTATAATATAACCTTTGTTCTTGAAGCTTCCTTGGTGATCCCGACATAGACATGCAGCCCCAGCCCCTCGGGAGGGCCCAGCAGCCAGCGCTGCTGCTGACAGAGCCCTGCCTTGACAAGCGGGTGGCTGCCCCGCCGCCCGGCGCACAGGGCTCGCGCTCCCGCCAGGAGCACGGGCTGTCTGGCCCCTTGTCAGTGAGGGTGGATACAGGTGGAGTCCAGGTGGCCCGGGTGACTGCCGTCTCTGCTCTTCGCAAGCCTGGTCTGTTGACTGCTGTCCGTTCTGGCAGTGACCCCAGAGAAGCGCCTTCCCGGTATCCATGCCCAGCCCCCCAGCGCTGTCCCACCGGTAGGTGCTGCAGATGCTGATGCGCCTGTCCGTCGCTTCTGCTTTTGTGTCCTCTGGAACTTTGAGCAGTGTTCAGGAGAGGACACTTGAGACAGCAGGTGGCACAGCCCTGCATCCAACCCGTCACCGGCCAGCAAAGGCAGCCACAGAGTGACAGCCCGCGAGATGCGTGGCAGGTCCAGCCGACCCACGTGTGAACAAGTGAATGGGTGTTGCCTTCTGCCGCTGCCTTTGGGGCTGGCTTGTAGGCAGCAGTGCGCCGCTGAACAGTCAGGGGTTGCGTGCTCACTGATACTTCTGTCGTCGTTTGGAGACTTTACCTAAAGGTGGTTGCTGCGCTGCATTTTCTTGGCTTTCAGATTTATTAGCTGGGATGACTCAAATGTATTTTTGTCCTCAACTGATTAGTTCTGTCTTAAACAGTTACTAATTGTGGCCTCCCTGGGGGCGCAACAGGTGACAGCGCAGCACTATGAAGCTGTCGCAGCCACTGCAGCTCGAGTTCGATCCCTGGCCAGGGAGGGACCCCAGGGCGCAACAGACCCCTCCTGTCTCCCCACTGCTCCCCACTCTGTCTCTGGTGAATCCTCTTACCCCCCACACCTCTGGCCTGTACCCCAACTCTGTATACATAAATAAAAAAGTCTGTTACGAAATAAAAAGAACCACACAATGTTCAATAAGTGCTCAAGTTTTTGTCTGGCCTCTGTCAGTAAGCATACATTTTTGGTGATTCATGAACCATGTGGAAGTAGCTTTTCCTACGGTGGCGTATTCGGTCGTTTGACATACTGTAACCTCAGGTGACCCGGCAGGGAGTCCAGTATTTACTGAGACCCCGCTGCAGAGAGCGGACTTCTGGACTTGCCTTTCACTGTGCTAAGGACCTAAGTGTGGGGTGCGGCCTTCGGAGAAGCCGCGGGGGGCCGCCCGGAGAGCCTGTGCCCTGCGCCAGCAGCCGTGGGGCCGCGGTCTTTTTTTTTTTTTTTTTTTTTTTTTGAAAGATTTATTTATTCATACAGAACTGGGGTACAGGTCAGAGATGCGGAGGGTGAGAGGATTCACCAGGGACAGAGTGGGGAGCAGAACAAGCAGATCAACGAAGTACACTGCTGAGGGGAGCAGCGGGCGGGTCAGGAGAGGTCTGCCGCGCCATGTGGATCTCCTCCAGGGCAGGTGGGAATTGAACTCGTGCAGAAGTGGCTTAAGCTTCTCAGTGCTGTGCTTTAACCCGCTGCGCCACCAAGGAGGGCCCAGGGTCGCGGTCTTTTTAACGCCAGTTGCTGGTGCCATGCTTTCTGTGACTTTTCTTTCTCTCTGTCTTTTTTAAGATTTATTTATTTGTGCATACAGAACTGGGGGACAGGCCAGAAATGCAGGAGCGGCGCGTGGATTCACCGGAGACGGTGGGGAGCAGAACAGGCAGGTGGACGAAGCACACTGCTGAGGGCCGCAGCGGGCAAGGCAGAAGGGGTCCGCCGCGCCTGTGGGTCACCTCGGGGGTGGGGATGGAACTCGCACTGAAGCCACAGCGTGCCTTAGCGTCGCAGTGCAGCGCTCCGCCCGCCTGTGGCACCAGGGCAGGCCTTTATGGGACTTTTCTTTGTGTGGCTTTTTATGTAGTTGTACGTCAGTGTATGCGTTTGCTTATATGCATCTCTCCCCTGGATAGGTGACGTGTGTGTTGCTTTGTTCCAGTCTGTGGCGTCCTTTTTCACTTTGCTCTGTTTAAAAGAGCAGAAATTTGTCATTTTGAAGAGGCCCCGTTTTATTGGGGTTTTTTTTTATAGTTTACTTGTTCTTTACTATGGGTTTTGTTGCTCATCTGAAAATCTTAAATATGTTGCTTTCTTTTAGAAGATTTATAGTTTTAGCACTTAGCTGTAAAACTGCGGTTCATTTCTCATTAACGTTTGTGTATGAGAAAATGGTCAAGATTCTTTTTCAGTGTGAAACACGGTTTACATGCAGTAAGGTTTGTCCTTCTCTGTGTGCGGCTCCCTGAGTTTGGCAGGCGAGCCGTCGTGCAGCCCCCGCCGCAGGCCAAGGAGCCTCCAAGAGGTGACAGAATGGACTGTCGAGTTCACGCGAGGAAATATCTCTGTAGCCATAAAAGGGAATAAATACCAGCACCTCACACCAGGGAGAAATCGCAAAGGCCTTGTGACAAGTGAAGTATCCTGATGCAAAAACTACGGAACGGGGTTCTGCTTCCCTGCCGTTCTAGAAAGGCCGAACTGTGGAAAAGAGGGGAGCAGAGGGGTACAGGGCCCATCTGGGGTTGACGGGACTGCGCCTTAGCTTCCTGTGGAGATCCTACACTTCTCACTTCCTTTACAGCAGCGCAGGTGACAAAGTTGTCATTGTTATGGTACTTCTAAATTCACTCAGTGGCGTAAGTGGTGCAGAAAGAGAGAGCACCCCCTGACCCCCCCGCCTGCAGCAAGACTGAGGGTAGCAGAGGCGGTCAGCTCGGAGCAGAGCTGCCTCCCTCCCTCCGTCCTACCCCTTGGTCTCGATTGCAAGCATTTGGTTGTGGCACCCGAGAGTAAGCTGGGAGGCTGGGAAACCCACGCCAGTTGCTGCTCCCGCCGCCGATTGAATCAGAATTTTGTGGGGGCTGAGACCTAGGTGTCGTTTGGAGCTCCCTGGTTGATTCCAGAGCGCAGCTAGCTTTGAGAACCAACTTCTGGACTTTAGGACTTGGAGATCAGTGTCATCAGGGGCTTGGTAGGAATGGCAGGTCCCATGGGCTCCACCTCAGATCGAATGGGCCAACAGTCGCTGCTTGGACACGGTCCGTGGGCAAACCAGCCTGCGTTCAGGAAGCCCTGCGTTTTAAGCACCCGGGTTTCAGACTGCACATCGGAGTTGCTGGAGAAATTCTGAAGTGCTGAAATACCATCATTCCCTAGAAATTCTGGTTTGTAGGGGTCCTGCAATGTTGCTCAAAATCTAGGTTTCATTGTTGCGTTCCTGTAGTAGTTAATTTTTTGCCCCCTGTAGTTCCTGTCATTTTACAGAACTGGCGGTTTGACTAGCCTTAGGTGGTTTCTTTCCCCCTCCCTCACCCCCCAAAATTGCTTCAGAAGTGGTAGTCTGTTTGCTTCAGGGGATCCAGTGTCGGATTATTTCTTGTGTGTGAATCTCTGCTTGGTGTTGCTTGTTTAATCCATGGGTTTAAAAATCACGGTCACGGCTATATCCTGTGGGGTACAAGAAATCGATACACGCCCAGATATTCTCCAGTTTACTACAATGGTTCTCTGTTTAATGTGTATCTCCATTCAGATTTAGGTACCAAGGAAGGGGGGTCCTTCACCAATGTGCCTCAGCACCTGGAAACGTGCCTGGCACATGGCAGCTGCTTGATAGATCTCTGAGGAAACAGGTGGATGCATCCAGTCAGGACTCTGAAGACTCAGGATTCAGAAGGAATGAAATGGCGCCAGTCTTGAAACTGAAAAGCATAGCTGGTAGGAAGTAGAGCCAGGAGGGTGAACGGTGGTCGAACGGGCGGGGAGCTGGTCTTGTTCTCCACCGCGAGCGGGGAGCAGTGGTGTCAGTGGGGTTTGACCCACGTGGTCCCCGGGCTGGGCAGGGCCAGCCACCCTGTTCGTAGCGTGCAGTCCGCCTGGAGACGGCCTCCCCGAGGCCCAGTGCGGGTGGCCAGTCTCTCGCCGTTGTCCTAGCCTTCGGCTTTGCTGACGTTTCTTTTGTAAAGTGAAGTGAAAGAGCTGTGCTTCCCCCCTTAATTTCCTCCATAGCTTTCACCTCTACTTATCTGACTTTTCCCTTGAAGGCGCTCACAGCAGAGTGGACACACCTCGTCAGGTGGTGTGGTCAGTTTCCTACAGGACACACAGGGCGCCAGTACCTTGAATCAGTGGAGGAGACCTTCAGGTGGCCGAGGGCCTGTTCTGCGGTGCCCACCTGTGCTTTAAGCTTTTCCCACGTGACAGCAGCAGCTCCTGATGAGACCTCTGTCGTGCTGGGAGCTAAGCAGGGAACATCAGTCAACACCTACCGTCTTGGACTTTCGGGTACATTTGAGCATTTCAGGCGCACAGTTAACAAGCCACAAGAGGTGGCGAGTCCCAGGAAGAAACTCAGAATGTGAGTGTGGTTGTTCTGGAGGCGGGAGGGTGTGAGAGGCCAGGAGGGTGGAATCTAGGGCACAGGGGCCAGAACAGCTTGTCTGGGAAGAGAGCTGCCTGGTGGTAAGGAGAGGCCCGCAGCTGGGCAGTGCCACGCGCTCTGGGGGCTTCTCTCTGCTGTGGTGCGTGGAGGCCGGCAGGGTGAAAGAGCCACGCAGCCACGCAGGTGCCCTCCTCTGAGGGTCGTGGTTCCCAGAGGTGAAATGGGTCCGGGGTGGGGGGGCAGGTTGTCCATACTCCCGCTCTTCTGGGAGTTTACCTGGGTTTCGAGAACTTGCATTTGTTGGACGATATTCTGGTGCACCACGCGCGACCCAGCCACCCAGGACAACTGTGGGGGGGAAGGTGGCCGCGAGAGGGGTCTCAAAGGGATAGAACAGTACCCGAGGAGCCACAGCTCGATGGCGGGACTTTCTGTAGCTGGACTCAGCAGGCACACACAAGGCCAGTGGTCAGACTAAGGTCCAGCAACGGGCCTCAGAGAAAGGGAGCTGGAGGATTTTCACACAGGAGGGGTAGACGGTGTTTTTTTTTAATGTATTTATTTATGTACTCAGAAATGGGTATAGGTTAGGGGGCTGAGGGTGTGAGAGGATTCATCAGCGACAGTGGAGAGCAAAACAGACAGACTGCAATCCACTGCTGAGGAGAGCAGAAGTCTGCTGCCCCGTGTGGGTCACTTCCCTGGCCGGGGACAGCACCACAGTGCCGCACTTGAACCCTCTGAGCCACGAGGGAGGGCCCTAGCTGGTGACTTAGGTTGGGCGTTAAAGATAGGGAAGGAAGGGAAGTGACTAGTATTTGTCTCACCTCCTCAGCTTCAGCCTGTAGTAAGAAATAAGCTGTGTCATCACACAGCCAGTCTTTGAAAATGATGTAACTGAAACGAAAGGAACAGCCTGTTTGCAGTCCACTCCAGGGTGAAGTTCCTCTAAATAGACGGATGACTTCAGTTTGGGTTCATGCTGTGAGGCCTGAAGGAGTTGCTGCCAGTGGTGGTCTGTCGGGATGGGGTGACGGACGTCAGAAAGTGGGGGTGCTGGAAGGAAGTGCTGTCCTGGGTGCAGGTGCAGGAAGAGGGGCTCCCCGTGGCCAGGGTTTTAGGGCGGCGCCGAAATGGTGTGGGGGCGCTCCTCGGTAGGTTTTGCGGCTGAGCCGTCAGACGTGTGCAGTGGCCTGGGAGTCCCAAGAAGAGGTGGAGCTGAAGGACAGTGGTCCTTGGGGTGGGGACCCCCAGGCCCAGGGTGGACTGGCGTGATGGGCACTGCTCTGTGGGAACCTCCCCCACCCACAGCTCTGTGAGGCTGCTGTCCCAGAGAACTGTGGGTTAAGTGTATTCTTCTGTATATTTAGGAGAATATATACAGCGTGTAGCGCAACATTAATTTGAAAACCATGAAAATGGTTTGTGTAGAAAGCGCTGTTTTGCGAGTCACAGTGCGTGACCCCGTCTACAGCCCGTGAGTCTGTCCTGTGTGTGCACGATCCCGTGAACCGTCACCGCGCCGCACACCACCCTGCCCGGGCGTGCAGCCGTGCTGTCCTCACCAGGAGCGCTGAGAAGAAGCCTGAAGGGTGCTGTTGATGAGTTTTAAAGTGAAGTGGCTGAGCTTGGAGGGAGGGTTGGCCGCCGGACCGGGCGGGTTTCCGAACCTGCTGTGGGGGGCACGCGAGCACCTGGCTGGTGCTGCCCGCGTGTTTCAGAGCCCACTTCTCCAGAGGGGATCTGCAGAAATTCTTCTGGGGTGGCACGAGTTCGCGATCGTGGCTGAAGCTTCTTTGGGAGCTCAGCCGTCTACGTCAGGCCTGAACTGGATGTGGAGAAAGGCTAAAGCAGAGACACAGTTACTGTGAAGGAAAAACAGGAGAGACGAGCACATGAACAACATAACCTGCTCTTCATCGACAGTGGTTTTGCAGCGTGCGAGCAACCACAGGCACGTGGAGCAGGCTGCTGTTCCTAGGGCGAGAACTCGGCGGGCCGTGGGGTTTCCTTACCAGAGTTCCTTATCACTTCACGCCGACCCGGGGCAGCTCCAGCCCTGGCCTCCTCGGCCTGGCCTGCTTTCCTAACGGGAGCAGCAGCCCGCTGTGTGGGCGTCACCCCCGTAGCCTGCGGCGTGCTGGGTTCCAGTAATGATCTCCCCTCGGGCAGCAAGCCTAGGGAGACCCAGCTCTGCTAGTCCCACTCTGCTAATGAATAATCCTTTGCTCCCCGGCGTCTGGCTGAGAACTCCAGCTTGCTCCCCGAGGACCCGGGCCCGGGCCTTGGGCTCTGCTGGCCAGGGGCTGAGGTTCCGCAGCTGCCCGGATTGTGAGTTGGGCTGGGCCGTGTCACTGCCTCACTGCTTCTCACGGCTTCCAGTTAGAGGTTCGCGTAGCCCATCAAATACTTGAGCCCCTTTGCGATACCAGTGAGGAACTCTTTTGAATGGGAGGCAACCTTTTTTTTTTTTTTTTCTTTTATTGTGCCTGACTTTCTTTTCAGTTTGAATGTGCCTGCCAGAATTTCACACGCTGAATCCCAAGGTGCTCGGGCCCCAGGCCCCCACAAGGTAGGGTAGGGCTGTTGAGACTTGCCTGGCCGTGGAAGGATCTGATTGTGTCCCTGCCACTCTCTGGGGAAAGTGGGCCCCCTCAGACTGAACCCTTTCTCTCGCTCATTTTTTTAATCCATTTCTTACTTGGATATTATAAAATCTTCTTAGTCCCTTTGCTTTCTTTTTATTTTTTAAAAGATTTAGTTTATTTATTGGCGCATACAAGAGGTGAGGTGCAGGCCAGAGATGCTGGTGGGGGCGGGGGTGAATGAGAGGGCTCACCAGAGACAGAGTGGGGAGCAGACCAGGCGGATCTCCTGAAACTGGCTGTGCCCCGTGGGTCAGCTCTAGCCCTGAGACTCAACCCTGGGCCTCCAGGGGTTCCCCTTTGAATTTTAAAGAAATTTAAATTTTCTTTTTAAATTCTATTCATTTTCCTTTTGAAAAAGGATCTTCTGCTTTCTTCTTGTACCCCACATAAAGCCCGTACATGGCATTGATTCTGCAGTTGTATAAGTATTCTTTTTCTTACTTAAATTTATTTTGTGTTAAGCAGGAATATTCAATGTGAATGAGAATTGTCCTGCTTCTTTAAAGTTTCCAGTTTTGTTTCTAAAAGGGTCTTCCCCTGGCTTCAGTCTATCCAATGGTTCCGTGTTGGCTGAATGCCCGGATGCATCGTTCACATAACTGGGTGTCTTCTGAGCACGGTCCGTCTGACATGGGTAGCGCTGCTGGGCCCCCGCCACCCCTGTGTCGCAGGCGGCCCGTGGGCACGGCCCTCTCCCAGCCACACGTGCGAAATTGCCGCCTTCTGTCGGGCTGCGAGGAGGGTGCCCTTTGGGGGTCTCGGTTTTTGTTTTGCTCGTGTTTGCAGCCCGTAGCGTTCTCAGGTGTTGGCCGGGTCGCGGAGGCCGGTGAGTGGACCCGGAGAGTTGCAGGGGACGTGGAGCTCTAAGCGGGAACCCGACAGGACAGCCGTGCAGCGACTGTTACAGGGTGCCCCCTCGGAAGGGGCGGGCTTGGTGGGGGCTCTTCTGAAGAAGGGACAGTGGAGCCGAGACCAGCATGGCGACAAAAGCGAGTCGTGCTCCGCAGATCTGGGGCGGCCAGAAAAGGCTCTGCCGCCGCCGGGAACGCGGCGGGAGCGGAAGGGACCTGGCGGGGCCTGGGCGGGGGCGC